AGGTGCAGGACCTTGCACTTGCCTTTGTTGAACTTCATGAGGTTCCTCTCCGCCCAACTCTCCAGCCTGTTGAGGTCCTCCTGAATGTCAGCACACTCCTCTGAGGTATCAGCCACTCCCCCCAGTTTAGTATCATCAGCAAACTTGCTGAGGGTGCACCCTGTCCCATCACTCAGGTCACTGAGGAATAAATTGAACAAGATTGGAGCCAGTTTTGCTTTCTTCCAGTCATGACATTTGCTTCCTTCCAGTACTCAGGCACCTCTCCTGATTGTCATGTCCTTTCCAAGATGATGGAGGGTGGCCTAGCAGTGACGTCTGCCAGATCCACTGCTCTGCCCTCATCTACCCAGCCAGTCATTCTGTCATAGAAGGCTATCAGATTGGTCAAGCATGATTTCCCTTTGGTGAATCTCTGCTGACTACTCCTGATCACCTTCTTGTCCTCCAGATGCTTAGTGATGACCTCCAGGATGAGCTGTTCCATCACCTTTCCAGGGATGGAGGTGAGGCTGACAGGCCTGTAGTTTCCTGGCTCCTCCTTCTTGCCCTTTGGGAAGACTGGGGTGACACTGGCTTTCTCCCAGGCCTCAGGCACCTCTCCTGGTCTCCAGGACCTTTCCAAGATGATGGAGAGTGGCCTAGCGATAACATCCATCAGCTCCCTCAGCACTCGTGGGTGCATCCCATCGGGGCCCATGGATTTGTGGATGTCAAGTTTGGACAAATGATCTCTAACCCGATCCTCCTCAACCAAGGGAGAGTCTTCCTTTCTCCAGACTTTCTCTCTTGTCCCCAGGGTCTGGAATTCCTGAGGACTGGCCTTAGCAGTGAAGGCTGAAGCAAAGGCAGCATTCAATAACTCTGCCTTCTCTGTATCCTTTGTCACCAGGGCACCCGCCCCATTCAGCAGCGGGCCCACGTTTTCCCTAGTCTTCCTTTTGCTATTGATGTATAGAGATATATCATCTATATATCTGAAGAACTATCATCTATTTTCTGCATGCTCTGAGCCCCAGACTACCACCAGCCCTAGATTTTCCTGCTAGAAGCTCTGCTTTTAAGGCAATGCCTCCCTACAACTACCCTATAATCTTGTCAGCAGCCCCCCTTTCCAGGCTCTAGAGCATTCCCCCTGCAGGATTCAGAGAGGTATATAGGAATCAACCAGCACTGGTACCCATGGTGGGGTCAGAGCAGGGCCGTCACCCTGTTCCTGGAGCTGCAGAGCCTGGGTTGGGGATGTGGCAGAGCCAGGGGGCAGCTTCTAGCATCCAGGCAACATCCAAATGACGTCTGCCCCCACTTATCCCCATAGTTTTAGTGCACAGAGGGGACACGGACAGATGGGCACAGGAGAGATTCTGCTCAGGGTAACACAAGGGTAACTTATTCTCTGGGAAGGATCAGCGGGCCAGATCCCATCAACCACCCTGTGCTAACAAATTCCTCCTCAGTTCCACAGGGCTTCAGGACCCAGCTCTCCCAGCTTGTGCTCAGCTGGGAGCAGCAGAGTGGTGCAGGCAGGAGCATCCTGCTCCACTTCTGAGGACTGGCCATCAGCAGCCTAGCTCCCCTTATTTCCCCAGCACCTGTGTCATGCACTAATTCTGCCCAGGCTTGAGAGGCTCACAGCCTCCCTTCATCCCCATTGTGGTGAGCTAGTGGGGAAGCTCTGTGCTCAAGCACAAAGCCAGCAGTCTGGTTAATTACAGATGCTTAATCAGTGACAGCAGGGAGCTTTCTTAGCAAAGCAAATTCATTACAGGCAATGTGCTGCATTAAGATCTGAAGGGACTAATAGAGACCAGGGCCACCTGGGTTGGCACTGCCCCCAGGGTTGTCTGCATTTCCTAAGGGGGCACAGCACAGCCCACACTGAGCCTGTTCTACAGAGTCCTCAGGGCTTGGCTGCAGGAAAGACATGTTGTTCAGATAGGACCACTATCCTGGCAGGGATGGACTAGCTGTTCCCCTCTGGAGAGCTGTAGTAGGGACCCTGTACATGGAGTCAAGGCTTGTCCTGTTTCAGGCTCATGCAGTCACCCAGGTTCAGTGACAGGCTCCAGACAGCCGAGGCTGATGCATTTTGGTGGGCACATTCACTTCTTCCCCATGAGTCACCCCAAGGTGGTGGGTGTCATGGGGCAGTGCCCTCAGAACCTGCTTTTGCTGTGGTGGGATCTTCTGTGGTCAGGGACCGGGATGTGCAGGAGAAACCATCTCAGGAGGCAAGGAGCTCACAGCCTGCCCTCCACCAAGTCGTAGTATTCTGCAAAGAGAAAGGGAGACCTTGAAGTTAGGCATTGAGAGCAGCCCTGTCCCAGCAATGCTGACAGCCAGCAGGAAGCCAGGGCTGTGCAAAAGCCACCCAGGACCTGATGGATGGAGGGAGCAGAGAGGGCTCAGACCTTAACTGGGAGTTGGAGGACACATTCTGTGGTTTATGCAGGAGGGTAGGATTGACCATGGAGGGGAGTGAGAGCTCTCCACAGGGTGAACATGTCCTTACCTGAGGCTGGCGGGACATTGGCTCCCACGGTCCCTGTAGCGCTGGGGGGTGGCGGAGGAGGCACTGCACTCCTGGAGAGGATCAAGGACGGGGTGAGTGCTGGCCCAGCATTGCTCCTCTAGCATGGGCTAAAGGTCCCATAGTGCTAGGCACTTTACAGACACACACAGAGCCCTGCACCAGGTGGCATAAAGCGACACCCTTGTTACTCACGTCTCCCCATCCTTGGCTGCTGAGACTGGGCCCAGGTAGCGTATGGCAGCTGGTCTCCGTGCCTGTGCTGGTGCTTGTACAGGCCAGGCCAGCATGGGAGGGGGATCGGAGTAGGGGATGTAGTGATGGTGAAACACCACAGCTTCTCCTTCCCCGTCAGTCTGCCAAGGCACCACAGTCATCTGCAGCGAGAAATAAAAAGCAGAGCTGTGCTTGGCCCTTTTCAACAGCCCAGCTCTCTCAGGCACATGCATGCTCTACTCACCAAAGCACCAGTAAAAGGGTTTACACAGAGCTGTGCTTGGCTGCAGTGCTGCCAAGGGCCTGGCTGGGTGGGCTCTGTCCCACACAAAGCCTCATGGCAGGCAAACATTCAGGCTGTAGCCAGTCCTGAGCTGGCTCTGAATGGGATGTCAGCAGCATCCTGAGGGCCACCAGCAGCCATGCAGAAACCCGGCTCATGGGGACTTGAGTATCTGCAGGAGCCAGTACTGCTGAAACATCTCCCCATTCTCCCACTCTCCCAGGAGATTTCAGCCCTACAAAGGGGACCTCTGCATGCTGTTCCCATTTGTTCTGCCCACCCTAGTGCCATGGGGCTGTCACGCTAGTGCCATGGGGCTATTTTGGAAAATTTTTAGAGCAAGCCAATTCAGCAACCCTGTTCTAAGCATGGCTGCAAGAACACACACACACACACACACTGGAGTAAGCACACGCTGGGTGCACAGCGCTGAAGGCACCACCAAAACTGGAAGGCCACCTCAAGAGCTGCTCGGAGAGCAGTGTCAGCTCCTCCACTCTTTGGGGAAGCCGTGCTGAGTGGTGATGAGCGAGGCCTGGTATCCATCGGTGCAGTGAAGCGGTGGGTGCTGGGCAGGCAGCATGGGCAGGGTGCATGCCTGAAGATGCCAGCTGGCAGTGAGCGAGGCAACTGCACGCAGCACATCTCTCGCCTCACCCGAGAAAGCAGCAGTTATTTCCCCCCAACAGAGATGAAATGTTTAATCTGATTTTGTTTCAGGATGGACTTTTAAATGAAAGCCTTTGCAGAGCCATTCTGCTTAATGAATTGTGCTCAGCCTCAGTGCTCAGCAGCTTTAGCCTGCTCTGCACCCTGTCCATGCCACAATGAGTGCAGAGGGACCAGGATCACTCTGCAGCCAATACAATGCCACGTGGGGGTGGGTGGCCAAAGAAACACCAGGCCACACAGGGCAGCTGCGGGGTTTGCTCAGAGCAAGCTGGGACTGGTCCTGGCAGTCAGGGAGGGGAACAGTGGGAAGACAGGGACATGGAGCCATGTGGCCCCTGGGAGTGGGCAGTGGAGACAGCTTTTAGCAGCTGTTTCTGCCCAGCTGGACTAAATCACCTCCAAGCAGTCTGGATATGGTCTCTGCTAGCACAGCTGGGGGTCAAACCAGCAACTCTGCCCAGGACAAAGATTGCCCAAACCCCAAGGGGCTGCAAGCCAGAGCCTGAACTGGACTGTGACAAATGAATGGCTTCAGTCAGAGGGATGCCACACTGTGCTGGAAAGGTACATGGGTGTCCTGCTCTCCTGAATAATGCTGGTAAGGGCCCTTTGCCCAGCAAGGGCCTGTGTCAGTGTGTCCTAACCCTGCAGCCATGATGGACTGCGAAGGCAGCAGTAGAGGAGCAGAAGCAAGAAGCAGGGACATGGCTTGGAGGGCTGAAGGGCTGCACAGCCATTAGTGCAGGAGGAAGATGGGAAGACCTGGGGCCACATCTTGACCTGGGTAGGAATGTGCAGTGCAATGGACTGCAGGGAGAGTAAACGAGATGAACTAGCTCTGTGGTCCTGCCTGATGCGTAGCAGAGCAGGGCAACTACCCCAAAATAGGGTGCCTGCCCTAGCCACGATGACATGCAGCAAAGCCATGCCATTAAGGCATGGCCACCCTGCCAAGCCAAAGCCAAGACACGCTGCTTTAGATGTAGCAAAGTCACCGGGGAAGGACATAATCCTGGGAGAGCCTTGGTGGGGAATGCACATTTGCCCATGTCCCCAGCATTATCCAGCCACCCTCTTACCTGGGCAGTGGATGGAGATAGCCCGAACCCGAAGGACGTCAGTGCCGACACAGCTAGGCTGTTCATCACCACCTGGTGCATTTGGGAGTTTTGAATCATCATCAACTCGATTAAATCTGCCAAGGAGTAAGGGGCTCTGCGTCAGAGAGAGGAGAGAGTAGAGCAATGCACGACAGATGAGGGAGCAGCAGAGCAGGAGCCCTTGCCCAGCAGCATGCACAGGGGCAAGGCACAGCACGTGGGGAGCGTGGTCAGCTCAGCCCTACACCGCACAGAGGATCCAGCCCCAGCTGGGAGAGCTCAGAAACCCCCCCAGCTTCAGCAGGAGCTGAGGCTGGGTTGTGGTGGGCTGATTCCACCTGCAGTCCTGGGACCAAGCATCTAAGGACCTCAGGTCTGCATAAAGAGCAGGCTGGGGATGCCCTGTCCCTCCTCTGCAGCTCATGTAGCTCTGCACACTTGGGATACCTTGCTGAGATGTGTATCAGGCTTACATGTACAAGTTAGCATCTAAATCCCCTTGGCTACAAGCCCAAGGCCTTTCTGGGACCATGGTGTGGCTGCCAAGAGCAGGCTGGCTGCAAGGAAAGCTCAAAGGAGGAATTGCTTTAATGTATGCCCATTTACTGCTGCCTGAAAGTTTCTCTACAAGTGTCTACAAATCTGCTGGAGGAATTTTCTCTGAGGTCCTCTGCAGCACGCTGTTGGGTTTGTGCATGAGACCTGTGAGCACCCATTAGCCAGAGCCCTAGAAAAAGGAGGTCTCAGCGTTCCTGTGCCCTTCATGCAGTGGCCGGATCCTGACATCCTCGCACGGCCACAAGGACACAGTCCTGGGATGTCTATGAGGCAACCCATCCCTCCAGCAAAGAGCATTACAGCACGTCTGGGGAGGAGGCTTCAGCATGGAGACTGAGCAACAAGCGGGGAACAAGCCTGGAGCCTGGCATTGATCCAGGAGGAGAAAACATGCCAGGGTCTGGCTGCTTCTTAATGGATCCCATCCATCCCGCAGGGGCCCTCTGTGAAAAGCCAGGAAGCCGTCGTGTCGTGAGCAGCTGGTCCCTTCTGCAGGCCTTTGAGGGGCCACACTTGGGTCTCGTAGGCATATCACATATCAACATCTCCCCACCTCTGCAGGGCAGCGGAATCACTTCATTTGCCCCCAGATTGGAGCCTCTTGAGCCTATAACCCGAGAGCCAAAGCAGGCTACTCTCTGCTCCAGGGCAGCAGAGTTTTGTTGCAGGTCCCACAGCACCCTCCAAGAGCACATAGTCACTGGGCTCACGTGGGCTTCACCTTGCGGTGTTGTCTCAGGGACCACAAGACCTCTTGCCTCTTCTCTCTACCCCTTTGCCCCCTCTTGGGACAGTTTTTTGGATTCTGGATTAGATGAGGTTGGGAGAAGCCCTTGGAGAGAGTCCTTCTTTCCTCCTACTTGCCACGTCACACAGGCTCTGGGGCTGGCACGTGTTCCCTCTAGTCACACCTAGCATGCCCAAGGAGCCTATATCTCCTTGGCCTCCAATCGTAAATTTTAGGGAAGCTCCCTGCACCCAAATGAAATGGGATTTTGAAGGTCAAAGACAGGTGGACTTCAAAGAACAGCCAAAGCTGTTCCCCGGGAGCATCCTGTGTGTGCCCAAAGTCAGCCCAAATGTCAAGTTTGGCAAAGCCACCAAAAATAGCATCTTGTAGGGCAAAAGAGTCATCAAAGTACAGGGTGGCCGGCCCTGCCAAGATTGTGGAGTGCAGAGCATGGGCATCAAAGTCCCACAGCTCTGCGTGACACCAGCATTAAACACACCCACCCACACCAATACACAGGAGACAGCCTCCAGCCCTGGGGGAAAGAGGGGAGCCTGAGGAAACAGTGAGCATTGAATCAGCTCTCACCCACTCACCACATCCCCCAGCCCTTGTGTCTCATCCCATTGCATGGGGGCCTGCAGGGATGTTAATGGCTTCGTCTTCTCCCCCATTCCGCATCACGGGTATGCTCTTGGGCAGGGAACGGAGGAACAACGCCCTTTCAAATGCTCAGATTGTTGCAGTTTGACATTGCAAAATGGTTTGGAGACAAAATTTGCTTTTTATAGCAGCGTTACTTAACTCGTCCTGATATGGCTGGAAAAGGAAGAGACTAATGTTGAGACGGTTTCAACACTGGCATGGCAGGGCAGGAGTGCTGCAACATCTACTGTCACGCACCTTCCCGGATGTGTGGGCATCTGGTGGGCCGAGCCAGGGCAGCGATGGTCCCAGGAAGCTGCTGGAGGATCATCAACGGCTGCTGGGGAATCTGCAGAGCCCCGCGGGGAGATTAGGCATGTCAGTGCTGAAATGTAGGAGGGGAAGGAAAATCCCAGGGATCTCCCACTCCTGTCTTAACTTAATCCCCTGTTTCCCCTCAGATAAGGCAGGGAGGGGTGTCAAGAGGATGCTGAGGAGTCAAGGTACATTAAGGGAGCTCCTCTCTTTTGGGTGGTCCCATGGCTAGTGTGGGAGCCAGGGCTGGTCCCTAGCCTGCACAAGGTCAAGAGGGAAGAGGAGCTGAGGTCAGGGAGGAGAGCAACACTGAGCTCAGGTGGGGAGCACAGAAGAGGGTCTCGGAGAAGGGGATGGCCTAAACTGACCACTGTTTTTTTGAGGGGAGGGCTACAAGCCTAGACCCCCAAATGGAGACCTAGGCAAGCCAGCCTGTCCCCATGCCTGGGGATATGTCCCCTTGTACTCTCCTTCGAGACATGACTGGGGCTCCTGGCAAATAGGGAGCAGGGGAGCGTTTCACAAGGATCCTGGCCTTGCTGCTCCAGACCGCAGCTCATCTCACCTCCCACCCCTCCGCCCTGCCCTGTCCAGCCCCAGTCTGTTCCCACCTCCAACGCAGGGTCCACCCTGAGCTGCAAGACCTGCACAAGCCCTGACTGTCCCATAAATCCAGGAGACACAGCTGCATCTCCAGGGCTTACCTCATGCGGGATGACATAGGTCTCTGCTAGGGTCTCCCCCCAAGTCCCGTTGGGTTCCTCCGCCTTCTCCATGTCCATTGCTTGCCCGGGCACACAGCCGACAGGCAGCCAGGGATGAGGAAAGCTGCAGCCAGGAGCAGGGCTCGTTGCTATAGCTGCTGGGCCTAAACAAACCCTCCTCCGAGGTTTGGTCAGTGGAAAAGTATTGTCCTCGAGCTGTTTTCCCCACAATGTACACCCAGCACCGGTGTACTCTCCACAGCACAGTCCTGTGAGACACCGGTCAGGGTAGCTCATGCCCCTGGATGATATTCCTGAGTCTGGAGCACCTTCCCGTGCTCTTCAGGGAAACAAGCGTGTGCTCCCTGGAAACAAGGGACTGCAGGCTGATCCAGCCCAGGCACCTGCCCGACCTGGTGCTGAGCACAGAGTCCAGGACAAAAGGGCATGAATCCCAAATGCTGGACCCCCCTCTTGGAGGGAAGCACTACAAGAGTGAGCTAAGAGAAAGCAAAGTTTCCCCAAGGACTCCCAACCACTCCAACCCCCAAGCATAGAAGTGGCACAGAGCCAGCCGTCAAAGGGGCTCAGCACCCAGAGGACTGGTCCCAGTGGTGGGAAAGACCTGGTCACAGTGGCAGAGCTGCTCAGCCCCTCCACATTCACACCTGCAGTGTTGCTACCTCTCACAATTTTGGGCTTGATCGCCAGGGGCAATCCTGTCTTTAATAGCCTGATAGACCTTTTCTTTCCCGAATGAACCTAGTTATTGTGAACCCAGATAAACTTTTGGCAGCTGCCAAACCCTGTGGCAACAAGATCCACAGTTCAAGGGACGTTCCCTTTTGTCAGCTGTGAATCCACTGCCGGATCATCTCACCGGGTGCTCCTCGGGTCCCATGTGAGGTGAGGCAGTGGAAATCCTGCCCCTCATGCTCCCCCTGCTGCCCACGGCCGGAAAAACAAGAAAGAGAAAGTCCAGTGGGATGCATTTTCTGCTCACCGAAGCTCGGAGCTCCTGAAAGCCATAAACAGGGCTGCTAAACCCTCTCATTCTGGCCATCTCAGATGTTGCTGCTCTCAGCCTCAGAGAGAGATCATATCGCTGCAAGACTGCTGCCGGCAAGCGGAACAGCTCTGACATGCCTCACAATAGTGCCTCTATGAAGCCTTTGCTTGGGATTTATGGAAATGTTCTTTCAAGCACCTAGAGGGGACAGAAGCCATCTGCAAGGCACCAGCAAGTTCCTGTGGATATGAGCCATGTCACCCACCTCTCAGGGTGCCTCCAGAGCTTCATAGGAAATCCAGGCTGGGCGCCTTCACAGGAAACATTGGCAGATGAGTTGGGGTGACCAGCTGTAGCAAGAGCCCGGGATAACTTTGGATGTTGGGCTCTCTCAAGGTTCAGTGGTGTCTGCCATCAGACTGAGGTTCCCTGCTGGTGCACCACAGGCTCATGATTGTCCTAGATGGAGGCAAAATGTCCCTCCACCCCATGGGACATCTCGTTGCAGTTAGCGAGATGCAACGTGCTACAATTGTGATGGATCACACACCGCCGGGCTCTCCTGCAACACCTAGTGTGAATGGGGACAGTCCTGAGCCCTGCTGTGTTGACCTGAGACCTGGTCCCAAGGGCAGCAGGGTGCTGGCGGGCCAGTGTTAGAGTCACCTTGGCCTGGACTGTTTCCCAGGGGTACGTAAAGGCCAGTGGCCATATTGCCCGTGAAAGCCCTGGCCTGTACCAGCACAAGCAGCTTAGCCTGTGCATGACTTGATTGCACCAGTCTGGCTTCTGCCTGTTGTTCTCTGCTGAATTCCTCCCACTTCGACAATAGCTCAGCACTAAGGAGGGGCTGAAATGACCCACGAGTGAGACTTGTGGCAGCGGCTCAGCATGGCATAGAGCTGGTGCTGGGGGACCTCCCAGAATGGAGCCCAGGCGGTGTTCCTGCTGCCATCCCCACACCCCACACAGCTGCCTGCTGCACAAGGCCATGCTGGTGCAGTGTCTGAGCTCAAAACTAATGTTTATTTTGTACTGGAAAGAAAATAAGTCCCTTCCAACATGCTCACAAAGGAAATCGTGTCCGCCAGGCTGTGCTCAGACTGAAAAAAGCTCATGTTTTCCATTTATCTGCCTCTGGCCAGAGAGCTTTGGAGTTCCAAACTCATCTCAGTGAAACTGTGCTGCTGAGATCAATATTTCTGCACAAAAGCCTTGCTCCCCAGCAAACTCACTGCAATGAAACACCACTTTGTCCCAAACTAGCCCAACCTCCTGCTGTCCTCTCTCCCTCTGCAGATACTCAGATATCTTTCCTCCACCTCTATTAGCTGCATTTCCCCAGTCTGCTCACCTCTGTCACTTTTTTCCATCCATATTATCTGCAGTAATGCATCAAATGCTGGGCTCCCCAGTGCAAGAGAGACATGGCACTACTGAAGAGAGTCCAGCGGAGGGCTACGAAGATGATGAGGGGACTGGAGCACCTCTCCTATGAAGAAAGGCTGAGGGAGCTGGGCCTGTTGAGCCCAGAGAAGAGAAGACTCAGAGGCGATCTCATCAATGTGTACAAGAATGTGAAGGGAGGGTGTCGAGAGGATGGGGCCAGACTCTTCTCCGTGGTGCCCAGCGACAGGACAAGAGGCAACGGGCATAAACTGAAACACAGGAAGTTCCACCTAAACCTGAGGAAAAACTTGTTTACTGTGAGGGTGACCGAGCACGGGAACAGGTTGCCCAGAGAGGTAGTGGAGTCTCCTTCGCTGGAGAGATTCAAAACCCACCTGGATGCGATCCTGTGCAATAAGTTCTAGAGGACCCTGCTTGAACAGGGAGGTTGGACTAGATGATCTCCAGAGGTCCCTTCCAACCTAAACCATTCTGTGATTCTGTGATAGTAAATCCACAATGAGATTCTATGTTGCTTCTGCCATGAGCCATGTCCCCTAGCACAGATCTGGGAGCATTTCCCAAGAGCCCAGACTGGAGCTAACTCTGCTCACCAAGCAGAAGCAGACCTCACCAAGCAGAAGCAGACTTCTCCAAAAACTCCTATCCTGCCCCAAAACAGGACCAGAGACACCTCCAGAGGCTCCGTGAGGAACACAGGCTCTTTCTGATCCAAGGTCAGCTGCCTTAGCCCCCAGCCATTGGCTCTAGTTCAGTTATTTTCTGCCTAATTAGGTTTCGCTTTGTGTTCCTAATTTCTCCGGGGCCCTTTGGATAATTTATCTATCTTTTGTTAGAACTCCCAAAAACACATTATTTACACATTTAATTACCATGCAGATTACCCCGTTTCTGGCAGAGCCTAGCTGGCTTCATGCAAAGCCTGAGTATCAGCTTTGTCGTTCCAGTCTGTAGGAAGGATCCAATTGCCAGGTCAAAAGGCTTAGCAGGAAACTTTCTGCTGGCAGTGGGGCAACAAGAGGAGCCAAGGGACTCTCTGTGAACTCCTTTGGAAGTGGCCCATGATAGCCAGAGCCCTTTTGGAGATGTTATTAGCTGCCTTCTTGCACACATGAGGGGAAGAAGGGAGATTCAGGGGTGTTTAGCGCAAGTCAACGTAAAGGAAGGGAGTCATCTGCAATCTGTAAGCACTGCAATAACCACAGTGGGAAGAAGCAAGTGTCGCCCCAGGCAGGCCATAAAACAAGAAATCAGCTTCAGGGAAACCGCTGTGGTTTGGATGGGGACTTTTTTGCTCTGTACTTGAACCAAATCAAGTGCAGGCCAAGCTGAAGGGCATCAGTGAGACCCATAAGCCAGATGCATCGTGGGCAGCATTGCAGGACAGTACAGAGGCTGGGGATTGGCTCTGTGCTGGACGTTCTCATGTAAGGCATTCCTTGTCCCTTCTCGTGTGTCTGACACCCTGGCATGTCCCCCGGCACATCTACACAGGGAGAGGGGAAAGCCAGACATGGGCAGCAGGCAGCCATCTGCACACATCAGCCCAGCTCTCAATCTTCCTTACAGCAGGGCATCATCAAGTTAGGGATGCAGATACCAGGGCTGGGGCAATTACCACCTAAGCCTCCTACGGCAGGGAGCATTCGTAGGCCATGTGGATCTAGCAGCAAGCCAGGTAGGAATTACTGTGGGGTGATGGATGGCACACCCTCAGTGGCAGAACAGGTGTGTGTTGCCAGGCAGCCCCAGGGAAGCACAGGCCTGGGACAGGGCTGGGGAAATGCAAGCGTCAATGCACGCACAAGGGAGCTGGAGCAACGCAGCCTCTGGCAGAGCTGCCCAGGACGGCTGTCTTCAAAACTGCATCTGTGACACACTAAGCTCAGGCCCTATGTTTGCCCAGAGACACCTTTTATAGGAAGAAATGACTCACTGCCTAGAGGTACAACCTCTTTGCTCCAGGGAGACGGGGGTGAGGACCGCCATTAGGTGACTCACCAGCACAGGCTGAGAAACGACAGCCCAGGACCAGTTCATATTCCCCGTTCTGGTGTGCTTGGTGATGGTTTGTGAGCTGTCCATGCTTAGCACACCAGTGAACGAGGGCTCAGGAGGGATCAGAGGATTGGCCATGCTGTCCCCAGTAAGAGCCACTTGCTTAACCCTACCTCTAGACGGAGATTTGTTCCAAGAGAAACCCTGAACACCCAGGCTAAGGATGATCAGATGCTAATTTTTAACAGCAGCCCTCAATTTGGCAGCTTCTGAGCCCCTCTCTTACTATAAGTCTGGGATTTCTTACTCTGGAAACCCTAACCCAAATCTTCATGCTAAATCCAGATGGATCCCCAAGGCCAGGATCTCAGCAACATCCCCTGGTTAAGCAGGCTGAAGATGAACTCTACCAGCGCTTAGCTTTGGGTCATGATCAGAACCAAGGTAGTAGCCCCATCTGAAACAGGTCCAATCTCCTGAGGCCTCCTAGGAGGTCTCCTGGTCCTCCAGACCCAGCCAGGCAGGAGGGATAGGCATCCTTTCCCATTAGCTCGTGGGTGCCTGAGCCCCGTGCAGTGGAGGGGGAGCCAGGCTGGTCATGAGGTCCTAGTCTGGCCTGGCCAAACTTCTCCAAACTCTCATCCCAACAGGACAATCAATG